TGTGCTGACTTGTATATGCTGCAACTCTGCCAATTATATTTGTGAGCAATCACCATAGCATTATAATTTGACCATGAGTCCTAACAGGAGGAGAAAAGCACTCTCATAGCACAGTCTGCCTATTTCCTGCAAAAATCAAGTCATAGTCTGAAAATTAATTTGAAGTCCTTTTTATAGTCTTGTCTCTAACACCTCACCCTCCATGTGAAAATCACACTCTTCCATCAGAAAGAGTATCTCTTACCATCATCTTCAACATACAAGCCTAATCTCTCCTTTGTCTTCTGGGTTACCACTTTTTCAACTAGTTTCTGGAACTGTTTCAAAGCATTCTTGAAATCTGGCACTTCAACAGCAGAGCAACTCTCCTAATCACACTCCTTCTGTTCAGACATCCTTTATTAACAGAGGACAAGAGGAAGAGCTCTTCTTACAGCCTGTAAGCCTTGTTTTGCCCTTAAATCTTAAACACCAGTTCATATGAGATGTGGCTGGATGATGTAAAAAACTGTCTTCAAAGAATGGTTCAGAAGAGGGAATGTTTTTAAAAAGAGGGAAGCATTTTCCTGAAAAACAAGGTGCTTGAAAAAGATGTTTTACAATTTGCACCTGTGATCATCAGTAGTATTCTACTGACTAAACAGTCATAGTTTAAAAAAAAAAGGCTATAAGTATTGGTAATTGATATGTTAATTATTTTGGATCATGTTATGATCCCAGATTCTCTGCATATGGAAGCTAGTTATCTTGCTCCGGGTTCTGGACCCTATGCTACACTTCAGATGATCACCTTTCTGTTCCTACAACTCTTTACTGAATTTGATCCCTTCTGCTTGATAACATTTTGTGAATTGTACAGGCTTACCGTTCTTTGATGCTGCCATGTGTGAAGTGTGTTCTACTGCGAAGTCAGAAGAAACGTGTTCCTGTGGCTTTGTCATTTCTTCTTCTTTGCTAACCTTATCAAGTTGCTAAAATCTACCTATAAAACAGGAACATCCCAACCCTGAATTAGTTCCTTTAAAGTAATACTAATCCTTATCAGTTAATGTCCACATTTTATGTGTTCAATATCTGCAGTTCCTTTTGTATCACTGCACTATGATGACAAATCTGACACCTTCCCATTTATCACACTGCTCCCATGTCCACTGCACATTTACATTAATATTACTAACATAATAAATATAACTGAACTGTAATTGAAGGTGAAGAAAACTGTTCATGGCATTAGCTATGCTTAAGCAAACATGCATTTACATTTCTTCACTGATTTTCTTGTTAGTGAAGTCATTAATGCACATTCATTAACACTATCACATATTTCTGTGATCAACAAGATTCTAAAGTACTTCAGAGAAGCACATCAATGACAATGAGTAGAGGCTGGAATCTATCTTCCGCCAGTGGAAAAAATGGAGCTCACAAGAAATCATGAGAAAAGTTGTTGCCCCTCTTTTTATTCCCCTCACCAAAGTAACTTACATAATCCTTGATTATTTTTGTTTTTATACCAGTGCAGACACTACTGCTTTATTAAGCAGATGATTAAGTTTTGGATGAGAAAATTCAACTAGAACATGCAGACCAAAATATCCCCTTTGACCCTAACTAGTGTTCTTGCTCCCAAATTTAACAGAGGCATCATGAATTCATAAAATTTAAATCCAGAAGAGACCTTCAGATCTTTTAGTTTCACCTCCTCTGTGTTACAGATCATTAAATATCAGCCATTTATCACTATAATGAGCCAAACAACTTTTTTCTAAAGCATAACTTGCAGAAAGGTATCAAACTTTAATCTGCAGACACTAAGAGATGGAAAATCTATCATGTTTTTTCCAAAGGTTAATGCTTACATTGTTAAAATTTAAGACTATTTGAATTTGTGCAGCTTCAGCTTCTATTCAGCAGTTGTTGGAATGTCTTCACTGCTTTAGAGTAATAGTTGGCTTATTCTCCTACTAGGGGCCTTTGTACCTAAATTACTTCTCCATTTTTCTCTTTTGTTAATTAAAGCAGATTGAGGTCTTTGTCTCCTACTGTAACACTTTCCTTCAGGCCTCAGAATAATGATTTCTCTTTCTTATTTTTCTAGAAATCCAAAAGACATCTAGAGGGAGTATTTTTATCAGGTGCTGTAGTGAAAAACTACTTAGAAACCCTGAGTATATAATGGAATCTGCCACTAGACAGTATGTCGTACAACATGCACTACTCACTAAATTTCCCCCCCGTTCCTCTGTACCAGCTTTTTACTTTTGTCATTTTGCAGGGATAAAAAAAGGTACAAGATTTAAGGTTTTCCTTTAAAGACAGAAGATAGAAGTCTTCTCAATGGGGTGTACCATTAATTTGGCCCAGACATGTTTCATTTTTAGACTTTCACCACGCAACAACTTCAACCAAACCAACCCCTGACTGTGTATTGACATAATATTTTTGAACACAGTTTGTCATACACGGGTAAATCTCTTTTATAGACAAGAAAAGCTAAAAAATCATGCCTACCCTAAAGCCCATGCTGAAGTACTAATTACTGGAAATTTTGGAAAGTCATGTATTCTATTAATCCAGCTTTTAGGGAGAAAAAATAGAATTCATTTGAGAAGGCAGTGGCTCCTGCTGCCTTTGTAATGCAAAACAAGCAGAAGACCAGTGATGAAGAGAGACTGAACTAGCTTTCTAAAGCATGTTTCAGTTATTGATTAAATCATATTTGGTGAAATTGAAAACATAGATTGTAAATAAAGTTAACATTGATAAGACTAGTTACTTTAATCACTGTTTCATTTTTCTGACCCATGACTTTCGCTATTCTTAACCCTTGTGTTAAAGCAGGAGGTTGTCATAAAATTGCCATGACAATCCCATAATTTGTATACAGATATGCGTTTTGAAAGACATTAAACCTACCTCAACTACCCAAGTTACCAGTCTCAGCCCACAAGGTATCACACTCTCAGTCTAACCCTTTTAATACCACTATGTGTATAAGAGAAGGAAAAAATCTAGATATTATTTGCCAAGACACATTTTCATGAAAATTCTGTTGCTTCCACAGCCAACATATTTAATTTTATTTTTTCATCTAAACTAATAGATCTAAGTTGAAATTTTTATCTGGGCCCTTGAGAAGGCTCTCACATATCAGCACGTATGTGGGTCAGCTAACAAAGCAAACAAATGAAAGGTCTTCCTGTGAAGAAGACTGATGTTTGATCTGGCAAGGCATTTTAGGCCCAAATCCATGCTGAGCAAAAGCCACTGTGATACATTCAGGGACAGGTTGGGTTTTGGAGACAATAGGTGACTTGCAAGTGTGAACTTTGGTGTCTTACTTACTCTGTGGCTGACAAAAAGGTATTCACCTGTACCACAGGTTTGCCTGTGCTGTGATGCTGCTGGTCACTTTGTGAGGATGCAACTCCCAGAGCCACCTGTGAGCATTGAAGCCCCTTAGAAGAAACCATCACTGTAAAATTTTTATTGCCAGGATCTCTGGAGAAGAAGCCTAAACATGGGTTCAGCAGCTTCTACCTCATCCTCGTGCAGGTTGCTGAGGTGGCCTGACCAAACCCAGCTCCCCAGAGGGAAGTGCTGCTGAAGGCAGCCAAACAGAGCTGAAACACAGGATTTTAATGAAAAGGAGGAGACAGCTGTGTCCCAGTCATGACCAGTGTCATGGTTTGTACAGTTGCTCTATCACCCAATGCCTCCTCCCCACCCGGGGAGGGGTTTGGGAAAAGGAAAGATTTGTGGGTTGAAATAGAGATATATTTAATAAAATAATAATAATAAAACCTAATATTAATAACAACTATCATATAAATACACAGAGTTATACTCAGCCAGTATTGTAGGAGAGCAGGCCTCAGGCATAGGACAGTAAATAAACCCCTCTCAAGATGTCGGGGGAGGAAGGGGGAGGAAGGGGGTCATCCCCAGAAAACTCTCCAATTTATAGTGAATGTGATGTTAACGGTATTGTATAATTATTAATTGGTCAGCCTGGATCATCTGTCCTGGCTTTAACTACTTCCAGCCTCTGCACCTGTTCATCTCATAACTTTGAGCACTATGGCAAACTGTATACCAGCACTGGCCACAAACTAATTGTTCCTATGAAATGGAGTGGTGTCGTCCTTACAAAAATCAACAGGAAACTGACACTCAAATTCTGTCCCAGTAAACAAGACTGTCCAAAATTCTGTCCCAGTAAACAGGCTGCTGGCCGCTGCCAGAGAGAGGGCGAGGTGAAGCGTTTGGTGGGAAGGAGGCATGCAGCACAACGAGGACGTCCAAGTAGCCTGATCGCTCGTCTAGGGGGCAGGGCTCTTTAGGGCAGGCGATGGCAAAGCCACCCGGGGGCGCGCCCTCTGTGGGCGGGAAGGCGGAGGGGGCTCCTCCTCCTCTTGCCCTCATTAGCGGCCCGCGATGGGGCTCAGAACGGATAGAGAGGTTTAGCCGTGCTCCAGT